TTCAACTTGTCTGTTTGTCTGTCTGTTTGTCTGTCTGTCAGTCCGTCCAGCGATGAAGTGAAGTGGGAACTATTGGTAAACTTTTAAGTTGTTGTTGTTTGTGGTGGTGGTGGGGAGGATGGCGCCCGGACCCGTAGGTGGAAATAGCCGGGGGCGCTGTAGGGGTCTACAGCGGGGGGGGGGGGGTAGGGGGCGGCCAGGTACGGCAATTGGCACCCCCCTCCTTCCCCACACCCTCCATGTGGCTTACGTCCCCCCCCATCTCCCCCCCTCCTCCCCCTCCCCCACACCCCCAACCCCGACCCCGACCCCGCCGCCAGTCCCCAGGTCGCTATGTGGGCGCCCTCACTGCCGCCGGGGCTCGGAGTATCACATTCCACTGGGAGGTCGTGGGGGGGGAAGTCAACAACAACATCCAGCAGCAGCAGCAGCAGGTGGCGGAGGGGGGTAGCAGTAGCAGCGGCTGTAGCAGCGGCAACCCTCAGCACCCGGATGATGGAGGCTGTAGCGGACCTTCCACCACTGCCACTGCCACTGCTACTGCCACTGCTGTGATATCCCTCTCCAGGGCTATTCGCTGTGCGAGTGCGCGAGCGGGGGTGGCTCTGGCACCTGATACGGCACTGCCGGTGAGGGGTGGGGTGGGGTGGGGGTGGGGGTGGGGGAAGGAAGGAATTTGCCGATATTGATTGTTTTGATATAGAGATAGATACAGCTGGTCCTGCTGAAGAATTTATTAATACTGTAAAACATCCGGGATATAGTTGGGGCGGAATTAATTTAGAGGACATGAAAGGGGGAAACAGTAGGATCAATAACAGCGGTAGCAACAGTAGCTGGTGGTGAGGGAGGTGGGGGTCGTTACAGGCTGCCTGCTGAGGGGGTTGCAACTGCTGGTGTGTGTGTGTGTATGGTGCACTGCCCGGCTCCCACCCCACCCCATCCTCGCCACCATCACATCATTAGACACGGGCATCTTCACCTCTCATCCTTTTCTTTGACACACCGTGCACATACATACATACATACTTACAACATACAGATGTATACATGCGTGCATGCCCGGCAATCGCACATAAATGAGTGATGCTGTGTGTTTTACCCTTGTACGGCAAACAGGACGAGCTCG